CCATAAAGTAAATACTTAAATTTTTAAATTAATTTGTTGTGTAAATAAAACCTAATATTCGGTAACCATATTAAGAATAAGTTGTTTTTTTGTATCTGAGTGAAACAGTGAATATCTCATATCTCAGAGATTATAGGAGCCAGGGTATCTCACAGTCGGCTATTCACAACTAGAGCACTTAAAGCTGTTTTTTTTTTCCTTTGCGTTCTCCCTTTGCACTTAATTCAGAACGCGCTGCGCTTTTGTCTTTTGTTTGGCATTGCATATGTAATTGTAAATTTTGTGTAAAACGCAAAGAAAAAAGCAACAAAATATGCAACTGCTTGTTAAGCAGCTAATATCTGTTGAATTTGGCAGGGGCTGTGGCCACAAACTGTTATCTAAGCCATGCATGCCGCATGCCGCATGCCACTTGCCACATGCCACATGCAACAAAAGTGCGTCCAGCAGTCGCTGCTGCAGAAATGGAACTGGCAAACGAATGTCGACAACTTTGTTGTGTCTTGTGCTGCTTGTAATTTCTTTTTGCTGTTTGCCGCTTGTTTGGCTTGTGGCTGTTGCATACACCACACGGAACTGCCCCTGCCCCTGCCCCTGCCCCTCCCACCGCACTCCTTGCTGTCGTATCGTTTGTTATGTTGTTGCTTTATGTGCCTGCCACTTTTAACTCTCTTGTCTCGTTGCACTTTAATTGTCTGCCCGCCATTGCCGGACTTCAGTGTCAAGCACAAAAGTTGCCACGAGCGCAACAAGGTGACAGCCGGAACAGGAAATCTTCCCGTCCAGACGCAGGTGCTTTAGTTGCTTGCCATTGCGTCCATTGTTGTGTTTGTCCAGCTGTGAGCTGTCAGATTTGTTGTCACAGCTTTATATTTTGCTTCACCAGTTGCCGGGGGGGGGGGGGGGGGGGGGGGGGGAGCACGGTTGAAGGGGTAATCCCACTGAAGGTACTTTAAAATATGCGCATATGTATGTATTTAATGTTGGTATGCATGAGGCCAAAGCCTTGGCCAGTCCGATATTTAACAGCTGAAAGCAAAGTTTAATATTATTGAACTAACCAATACTTTTTCTCAGTATTTATAACAGAATATAAACCCCTTACACCAAACACATAAGTAATATAATTTACCCATACGCATACCCTATAATAATATACCCGTTTGGTAACAGAGTATAAGCACTTTCCGCGAATTTTAAACAAGCCTAATATACTTTTGACATATTTTAACATTTTTCATACTATTTTTCAACTATATGTTTATTTTTTATTACAAATTTCTCTGCTTTTTTGCACAATAAACGTTTTCAACTTTATATTTAAATGCAATAACTTCGTTCATTTAATCGTAAAATTGGTCGAATCCAAGCGGTAATTAATATTCATAAATGCTTGAATAAGTAATTACAGTATTCCACTTTGCATTAGCCTCCAATATAATTTGCTGTTTTCGGCAAAAATTGAAATTGAGCAAAAATGTTGCATACCAAACGCACAATTTTTGGTGCAGTTTTGACCCTTAGGCGTTTTTCACTTCACACATTTCATAATCAAAATCGAAATCAATAACGAAATTTGCATAAATATTAAATTGCATATACTTTTATACGCGACTCGCCAAATTGTTCTTTAGATGGGGCTCATTCCGACGGTTCGATGGATGCATTTGTGATTTAATGTGCCTAAAACAATGCGTATACGAACACTGAAAATATATTAAGGGCATTGGCAGCACTGCCACGCTCTGTTCGGCCGCTAGGTGGCGGCAGAAAAATAGAAAAAAAAATAAACCAGGATAAACGTTAAAGCGTTTACACGCTAAAATATACATTTTTAAAAGCAAGCATAATATTATTTTTTAGTGCTGCCGCTGCAAGGTGTAAACTGTGTGTGTGTGTTGGGGGTGTGTGTGTCGCTGCTGTCGTTCTCGCCAGCGTTTGCTTAATGTCTTCTTTATTATACGAAATTTATCACCGAAACTGAAATTGGTCTGGTTGGCTTGTCGTTGTCGCTTGGTCCTTGCTAAGCACGACTAAGGCACAAGGAACCGGAAAGCTTGCACTTTTTTTCTGCAGCTATGTCGCAACATAAAGTAACTCACACCCACACTCACACACACACTCATACACATATAGACGTTGCAGTAAAAACATGGCTTATATCCCTTATGGTGACAAAAGCAAACACAGCAGCATACGTAGACACTGGAAGAGACTGAGAGACACACTCACACACATACACACACACTTTTACACTCCCTCAAGATTAGCAGCACAATCACACACACACACACACACACACTCACACACACACACACGGACACACGCACACACATGAAATTAATGTGTGGGTTTTGTGCTAATGAACGGCGCGCGCCTGTGTGTGTGTGTGTGTGTCTGTGTCAGTGTGTGCCTGCGCTGTTTTTGAATTATCGCATAATTTTTACCACAAAAACGGTTGGCAACATTTTTTTTTAATGTTTGCCTGTAAATTGTCCAAGCAAATTTATACGTTGTACTATATGCCTGCATAAGGATTTAGTGCACAAGAAGCAGCTATGCAAATATTTGCGCTTGTTACTCTTTCATTTTTTTCCGAGTAGTTTTTTTTTTCGTTTCAGCAACTAAATGTTTTAATTAAACGCGGTAAGCTTTTAATGTAGCTGGGATTGAATGCGTTTTAAAGTGCTGCAAATAAAACTCAAATCGAGTGGAAAAACTTTAGAGAGCATATTCAATTCAATGTTTGCCTATATCTATTTTTATCTCGCTACGTTTTTTTACCCCCCTGTAAATGACTTACAATTGAAAAAGTGTTCAAGTGCAGAACAAAACTGTTCAAAATGCGGGCGACCACAAAAGACAAACGGATTTGGCATTGGAGCTGGTTTAGAGTTGAGGTTTTGGAAAGCGGTCCGGGTTGGACGCCGGCCACTTTCATGCAAACGAACGAAACGGGGGGTGGGACTTTTTTCTTGAGTTATGTTCTCTGTTTTGCTTAGCATGGGATTTATTTAAAAATACGAAAACTTTAAGGGGTTGCGCCAGTTAAGAATACTTGAAATCTGTCTTAAATACCCAACATTTTATGTTATGTTAAGTTTTGTTATGCTATATTATGTTATGTTATATTATGCTATGTTATGTTATGTTAAGTTATGTTAAGTTAAGTTAAGGTCAGAGATTTTGATTTCTCCCTTTTTATCACCTTGCCCTACCCTTACCCATTTCTATAGATACTGTTCATTATGAACGGCTGCAAAAGAGTCAAACGGGCTGCAAGTGGGACTAGAGGTTTTGTTGAATTTTAACTTTGATGTCATTTGCTTTGGGTCAGGGGTCAGTTTGCCTTGCAAAAAGCTAACGCATTTATTTTATTCTATTTTTTTATTTTCTAAAACAGTTGCCAACTGTTCTGGGAAAGGCCAAAAAAGTCAGCCACCCATTAAAAAGTTGCACTAAACTTACGTTTGACAAATATTTTTAGTTTCATTTCATAAAATTGCAAAAGAAATACGTAAATTTGTAAATGGAAGCTTTTACGAACGCCAAAAGCTCATGTTAACTGTCAGAAGCTCGAAGCTGCGCAATCGAAAGCTCGTCGCTCATTAAAAACAATCAGCTGGTGGCAGGCAACAAATCGCTTTGCATGTGCTAACGCAGCACGGTGTCTTTTGGGCCCAAATGGGGCGCAACATATCCGTTATTGCATAGTTAATCGCGAAGTGTGGAATATACTAATTCTGTATACGTTGCGGACATAATTCAAAAGAAATGTATAAACACACATGTGCACTCACGGTCTTATATATATTTAATACGTAATATTCTTGAGTAATTTTTTCATGGTTTTCCTTGTAAGAATTTGATTATAATAGATGTCAGTCTTGAGAACGTTGTAAATGGACAATAATAATTAATATTAACAATTAGTAAGTAAATATAAGTTTATTACACCACAACAATATAGAGTGACGACTTAAGCTATATTGATTGATTAAGAACATATATGTATATATATTTTATTGAAGTGGATATATATATTTCAATGAGTTACACTTAACGTGCCAAAATCAATAAACTCTCCACAAGGGTATACACATTGTAAATTATCGATATTTAACAGCACTCAAAACTATCGATAGTTGAGCTTTCACGAATCACGCACACCTCTACCCAGTGCATGCAAATGTATATATTATCCGTTCAAATAACGGCGCTTTTCATATGTCATATGCATGGAGAAAACATTGTCGAAATGGAGCTGCGCAGCAAGTATAATAAATTGAAAGAGATGCTCATAGGCGCCGGCGCCTACGAGGAAGGCATGGAAATCGAGGAAATGCGTCAACTGGCACAGGCAATGGAAATGTCAACCTCATCGTACACGGGCGTCGAGTGCTCCAATCTCGAGCGAGCTCTCCTGGTAGGTAGCACAATGTCAACATTCCGAGGCGAGTTAATTAAAACAAAGCCGTTTGCGCAGGAGAGCGAAATCGATTTTCAAATGATGGTCAACTCCACGATGATCGTGCAGCCAGCGACGACGCCGACGCCCTCCATCGATGTGTTCATTGGCGCAGGCAGCTTTGAGCGCGACTGCGAGAGCCCCACATGCAATCCCATTCAGCTGCAGGTGCAGGCTGTGGTGCATCACGAGCTGGACTGGAGCCCCCGAGCAGGCACTGTGCGCCACCTGAAACGGGAAGCTAGCGAGTCCAACTGCGGCCTTGACTCAAAGCGTGCCTATCAGGCAATGGACGAAGAGTCAAATCCAAATGCCACGCCCGAGTCTCTGGCTAGCGTTGACTCTGGCGTCAGCTGCGAAGAGGTCGGCTCCTTGTCGAGCATCAGTGAAACCTCCACACTGCCATCGATTGGCGAAATGCCGAGTCGCCTTCTGATCAGCACCAGCAGCGCAGCCGTCTCCGATTTCTCAGAGCGGGACGAAGGCAGCCCCATCCACATTAACCCATAAGTTGTACACTTTTAGTCTTCAATTATTTGTTCGGTGATGCATTTTTAGCTGAGAATGTTAACAAAATTTGATAATCTATCTAAATGGCATTTACTGGATTGTTTTCCCGCTGAATCCGCGTCTTGGCTATGGCCTCGCCCACCAAGCGATCAATGCGCTTGCGCATATACAGAAACGGCAGCAGATTGACCCGATGGCTGACCAGCGTGGCGGAGATGCTGGTGAAGTACTCGGTCACCTCCACCGGCCGGGCCAGCGGCTCGTCCGACTTCTTGACCGGCGACTTGTTCAGCGTCAGGGTCAGCGACTGCCTGGGACGCTTGGCGACTCGTGCGCCAATTGTTTTCGCCGGCGAGCAGTCGGTGCTGGGCTTCGATTTGCGCTGACGACTGCGCGCCGTCTTGGCCGCCGGTTGCAGCACAGCTTTGGTCTGGATCTGGATGCTGCGATTTGCCGAACGCAGCGATTGACGTCGTGATGGCGGCGAGAAGTACTCCAACCCAGCTGGCTTGCCGGGCGGCGAGTCCTTGAGCCGCGCCGGTCTGCTTGCGTGCGGCTTGTCCACACTCATATCCTCCAGCTCGGAGTCTCTAGTTGCCAACTCCGACTCCATTTCTGGCGTGGAATTGACAGATATTGCATCATTTATTTTGGCATTCTCTTCCATTGGAGAGCTTCGTTGACTGGATGCCAAACGATCAGCTTTTGCGGCTGGTTGTGCATCCGCATCTTGCATATCCATATCTTCGGTGTGATCAACTGCCTCGACATTTTCAGTTTGTGCTGTGTCCTCGGACAGTTCCACGTCAGATACTTTTGGGGAGTCGTTCGGAATTTTAGGTTCCACAGTCAACTGTTCCGGCTCACGTTCCCTAAGATTTGTTTAATTAGGGTTAATTTGAGCTGCGACTAGAAGGGGAAACTTACGGAGTGCGAACTATGTAGGAAATATTGTTGGACCAATCCTCCTCCTCTGCCGTACTATTATTCGTATCCTCCTCGCTAAAGTTGCGTTAAGTTATTTATAAAATAATTCTGCGTTAAAACTTACTCAGCTTCGCTGTCATTATCATAGGAAGATTCCGAAAGTTCCGATGAGGGGGAGTCGACTGTCTTTCTCTCCTGGGAACTCGGATCCCCCACTGTACACTGTGTGGCTCTAGAAGGAAAGACAGAAATATTTCTCAATGAAAACCCTAAAATGAGGTTAACAAATATTCGGACTGCTCACATTTGGGCTTGGTCATCCGCTTCGCTTAAATCGTCGTCGTCTCCAACAATGTGTGGTACATTCGGCATTAAAGGCCTGTAATTAAGACATTTTGCAATAAGTTAAAATCTCGAGCAGTTTTACTCACATGTTGAGTGCCCTTCTACAAGATTTCTTGATGGAATGGAGACATGTGACAAAATGAAGCGTTATTTTTAACCAAGGATTCCATAAGTGCTGCACAACAAAGTTGACAAACAGTGCTGGAAAACGATTCATTGATCGCTTCTTTTAAAGACGTTCTCACTGCGCATATTTGAAATGCGTTTAAGATATCGCGTTATGAATACAAGTGTGGAGCTTTTTGAGAAATGTATTAATGACTCTGCCTTTTGTTAATAATAAATTCGTAGCTTATAATAAAATATTGATTAAAAATTACAAATCAAAAACATAAAAAATATATATATCTATTGATAACAAAACGTGTCTTTAACCTTCGCAGTAGTCGCACGTCTCAACTCCCTCCTCACAATTACAATATGCGGCTTCAGGCGCCATATCGGATGCCAGATCGTCCTCGCCAATTGTTATGCACCGCACGTTCCGCGGATACTTGACCATGACCAGCGGACGACCTTCCTCGTCGGTCAGACCCACATCACAGCCATCGCCCACATTCTGGCGCTGCAGTATGTACTTGGTGAAGCAGCATAGAAATATCTAAAAATAGTTTAATTCGGTTAACAACTAGCTTAATACTCTGCGGATCACTCACCAAGAACTTTAAGGCCATAAGTGCCAGCAGCAGCAGGATGTAGAAGTATCGCCAGAGCGATTCCGAAAACACGGGCAGGCATCCGTTCGTGTTGATGGAATCAACTGTGAGCGTTGGGAAAGGCGCTCGCTTGTGGCTATCGTACTCCTCGGGACTCATCGCGAAATTGGGCGCACAATTGGTTTTATCGGAGCTCTTCTTGGTGCAGGCAATCGGAGCTAGGACCGCCTTGGTGCGATACGACGTGTTGCCCGCCTGCGCCTGCCTGGGCATCCATTCGGCATTCATCCAGTCCTTGTAGTTGTAGACTCCACAGCACTGCTTCCGTAGCTGCAGTCCGTCCCACAGTAGCTTCCACTCCGGAGATGTGTAATACTCGTCAATGCCGCGCAGCAGCGAATTCTCCGCCGAGTTTTCCAGTACATCGATGTTATAGTATAGATTCCACACGGTGCCAAAGCCCGATGCAATTATTACGCAGGAGTAAAATAGCCAAACGGACACCATCAATCGAACGTTGGGCGTGCAGCGTCTCTTCCACAAACGATTCCACAGGGATAAGCTGCAAAGGAACGTGACAACCAGCTGGGCGCCCAGAATGTACACGTTGAACAGGTAACTGAATAGCAAGCGGCGATCAATGTCCTCCAGATAGTTGGACAAAATCGTTTGATAAATGGCAGTTATGATTATGATCAGTAGCCCGGTGACAGCCTCGAGTATTAGTAGAAGCGCAATATATACGGATGCTTTACGAAAAGGCTGGCGCATTTGGTCATCTTTGTCAGATGCTGCTTGAAGTTTTGCTTTTTAATATGTTACAATAGCTACGTACGGCAAAAACTCGAGTTTCGAATTCTATTTGAAGTGACGTTTATTAGAAAGGCAAGACAAAAATATCTAAAAAAGGGGAGAAAATTCAAGAGATCTTCGAACAATCTTCGTTATATATCATGCATGTAAGCTTTCTATCCTTTAAATTTATTTCGATTTACTGATTACAAACTGATATTCGATTCAGTTGTTTTAATGCGGATGCGTCTAATTGGAAAACCGTTTTTTATCAGTGCGATAAATTAATTATACGATTAAAAATGCGTAAGCAGCAATCAAAAAATTACAGTCTCTGTGAAAAAATATCAGACACGCCAAATAACTTGAACACAAGTATAACAACTATAACAGTTATTTCCATTACAAAATGATTTGCTGCATGTTTTCTTATTAAGTCTTTAAACTTCGAGCCACATAAACACTCCACAAAACCGTTATGCATTCAATTAAACATTTTCAAATATCAGTTACAGCTGTGTCTGTTAATTAACAGGCAGCTTGCAGCCGCGCGCTGTTAAACTCAAAATGGCATGCACAACTTAACATAGTGCAGACTGTTCAACACTGGTTTAAGCTTTTGATAAGAAGGTCATGTAAGCCGGCTTGAGATAAGCACAAACAGAGACGAACAAAGACAGCTCAAAATACAGACCGCAAATTAAAACCAATTAAACATCTCCGCTGCGCCATTGCGTAAACATCAAAATGTTCGCCGTGCTTTGTGGAGCTCTATTGATGTTGGCTTTTGAGCCAGGCGCCATTGCTGAACAGAAATTCCAATATGCCATTAAGGAATTTTCGGTGCCGCTGGATCACTTCAGTTTCCTGAGCAACGAGAGCTTTAACATACGGTACCTGTACAACGATTCCTACGTGGACAAGGCCAATACCCAGTCGCCCATCTTCTTCTACACAGGCAACGAGGGCGACATCGAGTGGTTCGCCCAGAACAGCGGCTTCGTCTGGGAGCTGGCGGCCAAGCAGCGCGCATTGGTCGTCTTTGCGGAGCATCGCTACTACGGCAAGTCGTTGCCCTTTGGAGGCGATACCTTCAACACCAGCAAGCCGGAGCACTTGGCATATTTCACCGTGGAGCAGACACTGGAGGACTATGCTCTGTTGATTACGTTCCTGCGCAACGGGCAGCAGCTGCCGGTGGTGGCATTTGGTGGCTCGTATGGCGGCATGCTGGCGGCCTGGTTTCGGATGAAGTATCCGCATATTGTGATTGGTGCACTGGCCGCATCGGCGCCGATTTTACAATTTCCCGGCCTGACGCCCTGCGATATCTTTGAGAAGATAACCACCTCGGTCTTCGAGACGGCCTACAATGCCAACTGCAGCGCCAACATTGGCAAATCGTGGAAGGCCTTCGAGTCGCTGGCGGCCACAGATGCCGGCAAGAAGCGGCTGGGCGATATGTTCCATTTGTGCGATCCCATCAAGAACGGCGATGATCTGAACAAGTTTATGGACTATCTCGAGGATGTCTACGGTAATTTGGCAATGGTCAACTATCCCTACAATTCATCATTTCTGGCCCCGCTGCCCGCGTACCCGGTGCGACAGTTTTGCTACTACCTAAAGGATCTGCAGCCGAACGACACCGAGCTGCTGGCCAGCATGGCCAGTGCCCTGGCTGTCTATACAAACTACACAGGCGCCTCCAAGTGTGTGGACTACAAGGATTCCAATTCCGGCGCCAACTACGACAGCTACGGCTGGGACATACAGACCTGCAATCAAATGGTGATGCCATTCTGTGCCAACAACAGCGACACCATGTACCGCACCAGCACCTGGGACCTGAAGAAGTACACCGAGAAGTGCTACACGAAGTTCCATCTCACGCCCAAGCCCTACGACATTCTGCTGCGCTATGGCGGCCGAAATCTGGAGGCTGCCAGCAACATCATCTTCAGCAACGGTCTGCTGGATCCCTGGAGCGGCGGCGGCGTCCTGAGGGCACCAAACAATCAAGTGCATGTCATCATTTTGCCGGAGGGTGCCCATCATTTGGATCTGCGCCAAAGCCATCCCTCGGATCCGGCATCCGTTATGGACGCACGAAAGAAAGAGGCGGCCATCATACAGCAATGGATACAAGACTTTTAAAGTTAAAATAAAGAGTACCAACAATTCATGAAATAAAATTAATTTTTGTAAAAATAACCAACAGTTGGAGCTTATTTTTGTAATATCTCTTTAATATATATGCATAAAGGTACAGTTGTTCACAAGAAAGGAAATCTTAAAGTTTACAGAAGCAGCAAAAAACACACAAAATTTAACATTTAAATCAACCTAATTCAAATATATATCGTGTAAACTTAATAAATAAATATATATGTTTTTTTATATTTTTTGTTATTTTTTTCAATAACTGCTGCAAGGCATTAAATAATAGAAAAAAATATAATATAAGGCAAATAGAATAATGTTTATCAAAAAATATTAACAAAAGTTTGATTTTCTTTTAACTGGATGGATAACCTGTTCCATTTCTATAGTATATGCAAATTATTCAACATTTTGTTCGTTTGCAGTTTTGCAATTTGTTTTTTTTTTGTTTTTTCAAGGTTTTTTTTATGCATTTTATTTATACGCAACATTACAATTTTTGTATTGTGAAAAATTGTTTATAGTTTGGTTTAGCACCGGCATAGGACACTTGCTTCGTTTATATATTCAAGGCTCCTTTCGCGCACGTTGCCCCCAACCAGGTTAGGGCATTGGCTCTAGTCGGCTAGAGTTTCGAGTTTTGTCTATGGTACGAATTTTGGAAATGAGTTCAGGAATGCTTTGAGGTGAGACAGCCTGTGCCGCCGGATCTTTGGGCGAGGGTTGACACCTGTGGCCGGTGCGCAATATGCAGCCGCTCCCAAGCCGTGGGAGAGAGCTTGGCTTGGGGCAGCTAACCCTCTGGCGGCGTCGGCTGTCTAGCGCCCAGGGCGTCGTCCAAAAGCCAACACGCCGGACAGGCTGCCACGTCCTGAATTTGGGAGATGAACGTGCAGCCGTGCTCGGCGTACGAAGACTTTTGGCCAGCACTCTGGGCAGTTGGTCTATGTGGGTCATGGTTTGTCTTGAGGTTTGTCCGCTAGCCAGCCTGAGAGGCAGCGTCAGCTTGTGGCCAGGCCGGGCAAAAATGTTCCACGAGATTTGCCAGATCTGGCCTCAAGCTGCAGCTGCTCTCGGGAGAAACGTGCGCTACTCTGAGCTAATATTTTCGTGTGTGCGTATTTTTTTTTCCTTTTTTGCTTTCGTTTTTTTTTCTGTCTCAACTTAGTTTTTATATACATAATGTTGGGCTTTATAATTTGGGGCATAGGTTATATATAGTTTATATATATATATATATATATAAATGTTTGCTGTGCAAATATATATGTATAATGTATATATCGTTAATATAAGTTACTTTTATGTTTTGTTGTAAAAGTGTTTCGTTACATGTCGTTAGTTTTCATTTTCATTTTCATTTTCATTTTGATTTTTCAGTTTTTTTGTTTTTATCAAGTGTTTCTTTATAGTATATGCTCGTCGAGTTGTTGGGTTTGGTTATTCATAACATATTATGTACATATTTATTTCGGTATGTTTGTCTGTAGCTACCAAAAATAAAATACACGGTTTGCTTTCTTTTTCATTCAAATTGTGGAAAATTACAAAAATTTACAGGACATAACACACTCGACTCGACGCTAGGTTGGTTATATCTTAAATCTTGAACAAGAATTTTGCATTTTTGTATACTGCGCGGGGGTTACTTTCATTCATTAGCTTATTTCTTTGCATATGTTTTGTTTTTAATTTGAAAGGCATATTCGTATTGGATTCTGTTCTGTGGTTACATTTGGTTATTTGTTTTGTTTTATTTGGTTTTTACTGTGAATTTATTGCACTAATCCAATGACAATTACGTTGGCGGCGGGCCGTGCGGATAGGAGAGCATTGGCTCCAGGCTGCGGGCGAATGTGTTGGAGAACATGCACGTGTAGTCCTCACCGTGGGGCACCAGTGTTGCCACACCTAAAAGCAGCAGCATGAGCGCCTGTATGGGCAGGGAGGCACGTGCAACGCGCCCGAGGAATCGTGCACCGCGGGCCAGTACCGTGGTATTGATGACATCGCCATCGGCAGCATCGCCATCGGTGTTGGTGCGGCTATGGAGCAGAGTTTGAGGATTAGAAAAATAATTGTATGCATATGGGGTTTATAGAAAACATCATGCTACAATAGTTAGATCAAGTGCAACTAGAGTTTGTACTTGTGCAATTATTTGCTTAGTAATTAAAGAACAAAAGAATATATATAAGAAAACTAAACTAGACTACGGATACGTTGAATTACAAATTAAACAAATTTTCTATGAATATTTACTTTGCATTTTCTGTGTTGGGTGCGGCGGCCTGCATAGAAGAGGTTGATAATGTAGTATTATCCAAAAGCTAGATATGCCATAAAGTATAATGGAAAGGAACAAAAAAAGAAAATAAATTAAATTCAAAATAAATCAAATAAAAATAGTTTTTGCATTTGTCAATTCAAAATTCGCATCACGCTCTAAATAAATTGTTGTATTTATAATAATATATATATAAAAATATTTTTACAGCCAATTTCTTTTTCACTTACTTTGGTGCGCTCAAAATAAATTAAAAATCAAATTGTTTCTCTTTTTTTTTTTTTGGGGATTTCCGGGACAAATTCTCGTTTAATTGCAATACATTTTGAAAAATCGAGAGATCCTTGCACTTACCTCATTCGACAACATTTGCAGCGGCACGCCCAGATTGTCGCCCTCGTAGCCGAGCACGGCGCCCAGCTTGACGATGTAAATGCCGGAGAGGCGACGCAGCGATTGCAGCCGGAGACGCAGATCGGTCAACCTGGAAAGGGTTCTAGAATATTTAAAACATATGCTGGCGGCTCTTGGGGTTGTCAGTTGTGATGAAGTGTTAGAATGGGCGGACGAATCAAATTTTGAGTACCAAACAAAATAAAAAAGTAAAACACAAATCAATTACGCAACAAAATAAACACAGCAAAACACAAAATTCAAAAGCGAGAATATGTTGCAAAATAGGTTTTTTACAAGAAAGCAAACTAAGTCTCTAACTAATAAAATATGTGAACTACGGAAATTGGGTTTGTTTTTTTTGGGAGCAAAAGCTACATTGGGAAAGATACGTGATGGTGTAGTAAGCCGAAAAGAAAGATGTTCAGAGGAACATTTTTAGTACAATTTCGTTGTAATCAAGTGATGGGAATAAATGTTTGAATTTATAATAAATGTTTTTTGAAATGAAATCAAAGGGCAAGCCACGAAAATGCCGATTGAAAAGGTAAATTTAAATAAAATCGATCAAGATGAATAAGAAACGGATATCTTTACAGAAAGAATGCAATTTTTTGAGTGTGGATTTATACAAATATTGAAGATAAACATTTTTTACAATATATTAATTAAATTTGTATAATATTTTCATCAGATTGTAGAAAGATTTTCAAGATTTTATAGGCCAATTTAAGAAGAAAGAAAAACAAAATCTTGTTCTTTTATGCCAAAAAAAATTTCTACAATTGGAGGAATAAAACTTGAATTCCTATAATATGTAGAAAATTAAATTATTTTATATTAAATAGAATATAGAATATATTAATAGAATATTTCTTTTTGATTGTAGCATAAATAAATTCTATTCGCCTCATAAGTAGATTACTAAAAGTGGTTCTATAAATTATAGTTTGACGTACAGAAGAATAAAATTTGAAATTTAGTCAAGGAAAATTGAAGAGAAGAAAAATGTTGGCACATAATAGAAATTTTATATGCAACAGAAATATTTATAAATAATTTAATATCTACTGAGAAGAACATTTATTTAGCTACATAACCAATCGGAAACTATAAACGCCGCCCAACTACCTCGTTGCTCCTGCTGCTGCCCCTGCCCTGCCCCCCTCTCTCACCTATATTGCCCCCCCCTAAGAGCACATCTATCTAGAAAGCAGAAGCGGCATCCACGCATTTATTTCGTTCCGCCCTCGGCACTGGCGCCAGCTGCACTTACCTTTCATAGGTGTGCTGTGACTGCTCCTCGGATCCCTCGACAGAGCGTAGCAGCTGATCGGCGGCATCCTGGAGGCTGACAACGCGCGGCTCACAGCGCTCCAGTTCGGCGCGCAGATCCTTGAACTTGTTGAACTTGGCCTCGAGGACGCTGCGCTCCTCGGTGAGATCGACGGGCTCGGAGGCCTTGATGTTTTGTTCGGTGCGCTGCAGCCAGTCGACCAGCTCATCGATGGTCTGATGGAACTCGCTGTTGCCCATGAGCGCCGTCTGGAGCAGACCCTGCCATTTGGTGGCATTGATGCACACGTTATTCCAGCGCTCGTTGTCCGCCTCGAGGCGTGCGCGCAACTGTCGCGCCTTCTCCGTGTCCATGGTGTGCGTGGCCAGATGATCTCCGACCACATTCAGCGACGAGATGATCGACTTGTGACTCTCCAGATCCAGCAAGAACTCGCGATGATCCTGTGTCACATCCTCGAGCAGTTCAATATTCGAGGGCGGCCCCGTCTGGGCCTTCTGTATGCTCTCGGCGAACTGCAGCCACTGCTCCAGACGCCACAGATCGTTGTCGATCTGCTGCCAATTGCGTTGCGTGCAGAGCGGACACGTTAAACGGCCGACCTCACTGTTTTTTTAGAAGGGATAAATAAAGCAAACAATTAGCAATGCTTTAAATAAAGACGAATGTTTATTTAGTATGTAAGCCCGCTGGAACTGAGCAAAGTCTGTGGCACGACTTTGGACAGAGCTGACGTCCAGGCAAGCTCCAAGCTGCTCACTGTGCTCCACCTCTGGAGACTGGCAGCCTATTGAGAAGAGGAACTGCCAGCTTTTGTCTGGTGGATGAACACACAGAACAATAAACAGAGGTCACACGTGGCAGATTAGGGAGCTGGCCTGGCTGTGTTATTGTGGTCAGTGCACAGGTAGATGGTAGATAGGGTAGAGATAGAGATAGAGATAATCTTCAGCTGTTAACACTTACTGTATGCATGTGTATTTGTAGGCAGCAGGTAGCAGGCACCTGCTGGGCATAGCCATCATGAATGCGCAGGTTCAAGTGAAGCATGTGTGTGCGAGTGTGTTGAGTGTTGTGTGTGTGTGTGTATGTGTGGGAGCGGGGCAAATAGCGAGACAGATAAAGCAATAAAACAATTTGTTAGCCAAATACCATTAAAAATACGCCCAAAAAAAACCAAGAAAGTGGTTAGAATACTTGCAAACTTATTAAATGTCAATCAATTCGCAATCAATCAATCAATCAGTGTCAATCACGATACATACTACAGTGGTCTCTCGTTTAATGAGAACTTGGAAAACCAAGTCAATAATTGAAATCGATGTTATCTTATTTTGGAATAAAAAGTCGATTGCTTTTAAATGTCTGATTAAAGAAATATTGAAATATTTTTTTAAAACATTAGATAGAGATGCGTTCTCATCATCGAGCGACTACTGTAGCAGCAAAACTTTTCTTTTAATCTATTTATCCTCAAAGGTCTTATGGATATTTCTGATTTGTAAAAAGCGAATATGTATTTTTCCCATTTAGAAATTTATCTCAAGATACAAGAAAAGGGATTCATGAAAACAATACAAAAGGCTGATTTGAATTAAAATTGTATAAATTCATGTAATTAATTGAACCAAATTCGTAATTAACAAATACAAAAATGGGAAAAAATGAATGAATTGTTAATGAAAACTAATCTTGCGCAGCACTGTGTCCAGTTGGAAGTGAGCTCGGCAAGGATTTGACTGGACCAAAACTGGACCCAGGCCCGATATGAAAGGAAATGGAACTTTAAATTCAATTTAAACAGATCTTCATAGGCTAATCCCCACACAAGCCGATAAGAACCTCGAATAGGATATAAACGGATGTACCGAGAATCGATCTACACGCGCAGTTTGCAAGTATGCAGTACAATTAGTTGAAGGAATAGGCTAGATAGAATAGCTAGATTGGGGAATTGGAATGAGGGCGCCTACCTTGCATTCTGATCGTGCTGTTGGCGCGCCTTCCACTGCGACTGCAGCGTATCGAAGCGCAGCGCCAGCTCTGACACGGTGTCCACCTGGGCTGATTGATTGTCCGCATGGCATTCGGTCAACAGCAAATGGCTGAGATGCTTGACGAGCTCCGTGGATGACTGGGCGTTGCCCAAGAGCTTGGCAATCTTCTGCGGGCCCGGCTTGCGCGTCTTGTCCACAATGGTGCGCTGCAGCTCGTCCAGATTGTTCTGGCACTCGACAATGGCCGTCTGCAGCTCCATGATGTACGCATCCTTGGCCGTTATGGACGTTTCCCGCTGCAGTTGCGCCTGGCGCAGCTTGCGCTGCGACAACGTGTCCACCTGGACGCTGGCGTGCGCCTCACTGATTGCCGCCGCGCCCTCCTTGGTGGCACGGGCGAGCCAGCTGGTCTTGAGCAACACCAGATTCTTCTGCACCGTCTGCCAGAGGGTCGTGTATTCGGCGACCAGTTTAAGCAGCTGCTTCAGCTGCACCGGCTGCTGTTTGCTGCGCAGTTCGGCCTCCTTGCCCAGGGCATCGGCTTGCTGCACCTGCTGCTCGGCCAGCTGAAGCTTGCGCTCCAGTCCGTCCAAGCGCTGCAGCACCACCGTCGCCTCCATGGCCACCTGCTGATCCTCGGCATTGGGCACTTGCTCGAGCGCCTTCTGTATGCTCGCCAGCGATTTGTTCAGCTCCAGCTGGGCCGTGTTAAAGTCTCGCATCAGCTTGGCATCCTTGTCAATGGCATCCAGCAGGGCGTGGCAACGGGGCGTCAACAGACGCCACTTGCTCATCATCACCTTGGTGGGCAGCGTCAGCTTCTGGATGTTCTCGGGCTCGACGCCCGGGCTCATTGTGAGGCAGGCATACGTCTGTTCCAGCTGGCGCAGACGGACAGTCTCGGCTTCCAGTTCGGATAGCTTGGCGCGCAAGGCCTGCTGGCGTTCGTCCAGCTTTTGTTTGCTCACGTATTTCTGGTCGCGCTCAAAGCTAGAGAGTTGGGTTTCCTGTTTGGCCAGCCAGGACTTTTGCTCGGTGGTCATTTTGATCAGCTCCTGGAGCGAATTCCATGTGGCCAGGATGCGAGCCTTACGCTCCGCCGACTGGCTGCACACGTTCTTCCAGCGTTGCTCCAGATTTTGAGCCGATGAGGCCAACCCCGTGGTGTTCACCTGGGTGCGCCAGCTGTCCGCATCGCTGAGCAGCATTTCGACCAGGTTGAGTACCTCGCCCACATTGCTGCTATGATGCTCAATGGAACGCTGGATCTGCTCGTGCTCGCTCAGCTTGGCCTTGATCACGTTGGGCGTGTAGTTGTCAAAGCTGATCGGCTTGTCCAGCTGCGACTCCACATCGAAGAGCCAGGCACGTATGAGTGCTATGCGCTCCTCCAGTCGCATCAGCGTTTGCTTCAGTTCGCCAATTTTCGTGGCGCGCTGCTTGCACAGGAACTTGAGCCGATTCCAGCGATCGATCAGTGCATCGCTCTGCTGCTGCACCTGGCTGCGCACCTGCTGCGCCTGGGGCGTGGCATCCGCATAGAGAGCCAGCAGCTCCCGGCTGGTGGAGAGCAGCCATTCTCGCTCCTTGTCGCGTAGCTGCAGCTCGCCATTGATTTGGTGCTCCAGCTGTTTGGCTGCCTGTTCCGGATTGGCCATGGCCGCGACATCGGCATCGCGCTCCACACGCTCCTCGAGGGTGCGCAGCCACTGGGTGATGCGCTCATAGCGCACCTGGTAGTTGGAGAGCAGCGACAGACGCTCCTCGATGGCATTGATGAGCACGGCCAGCTGGTAGTCGAGATCGGCATGCTGCTGCCAGAGCAGGAAACTGCGCTGGCGTATGGCCTTCATGTCGTGCGGACTGATGCACTCCTTCAGCTCCTCCTGGCTGACCGTCAGGTCCTCCAGCGCGAACGTCTGAGCGCCTAGTTGGAGACGTTTCGCTCTCAGCGCAACCAGACGCTGCTCAATCTCGGCGGGCGCCGTGGGCAGTGCATCACCCGAGCTGCTGTCGAGCAGCTCCTGTGCCTTGCCAAACTCCGTCTGCAATTGCTGGACACGCTGCTCATACGACTCCCCGAGCTGCTTGATGCGCTTGAGGAAGTTCTGCCAGGTCTCGAGGGCGGCACGCAAATTGCTAATACGCTGATTGATGCTCGCCTGCTCCATGCGCATCGCGGTGGCCAGCGCATCGTCGCAGTACTTGAGCAGCTCCTGCTGCTGTGCCTTCAATGCGGCGCTCTGCTGCTCGCCACGTGTCAGCTGCAGCAGCAATGCGTCCAGGCGCGCCTTCAGGTGCGGCACGCGCTTCAGGTGTATGTAGCGCAGCTGCAGCGCATTGCGTTCCGCCTCGCGCTGGCGCAGCCAGTCGAGCAGGGCGGCCAGTTGTTGCCGGTAGGCATTCCAGCCGCTGACACGGCGCTCCAGCTCCTCGTTGCGCTGCATAATGCGCGAGAGGGTCTCGTTGTGCAGATTGGTCAGCGCCTTGTACTGCTCCGAGAGCTCCGATTCGAGCGGCGTCTCGGCGAGCACGCTCTGCTGCGAGATGAGCAGGTTCTGGTGTATGGCACACAGCTGCTGCTGCTCGCGCAGGCTGCTGTAATCCTCGGGTATGGCACAGGCGAGGAACGACTGCACATGCTGCAAATACTGACGCCACAAACGCAACGCCTCCGAGCTGTTCTGGGTGCGCGCCAGGCGCGTCGACAGGCGATGGTACTCCTGGAACGTATCCTGGAATATCTTCTGCCACATCGCCAGCACCTCCAGGATGCTATCGTCGGCAACGGCGGCAGCGGCAGAGCCGCTCGACGCCAGCTCATTGTTGTTCTGCTGGCGTTCGCGCAGCTGACGCAGCTGCTCCTCGGTGCGGGCCAGCGTCTGCAGATGGGCTCGCAGCGCGGCCAACTGCTCCTCGCTCTCCTTGGGCGTTCTCGGCTCACCGCGCGCAATATCCTATGAGTAAGCAAATTAGATTTATTATTATTATTATTATTATTTTTTTAAATATTTGTGTTTAACAGGTGGCAGCCAGTGCAACGTTTTGTGCATGGCTAATTGGCCTGACCCTAATAGCCACAATATGGTCTCCAGTTACAGTTGGCAATGCACGGCTTCACAGCCGTGAAAGTAACCGACTCACAGATGCTCTGTAGCCAGTGCATGACAAAGCTTTGCTATAAATTTGACTTATCTCTGTGAATCTAGAACTGAGACTCTTAACCCTTTTGCCCTGCAGCCAATATGCCGTGCATTTGTCCCTTGGGTACGAGGTATATAAAAACGTTGCAACTCTTTCCGCCAACTGGCAATGACCTCATGCTAACAAAGAAGAAAAAAACACACGCGCGCGCGCATTTCAACTGTCTGGCCACACATGGGCTGGGCTAGGAGGTGGGGCAGGGAGGGAGGGCAGTCAGGTGGGCTAAGGTGGCGGACACAAGAGACGCGGCGACTGGTTGTGGCATGTGAATTTCAAATGGTTCGCACAGTGGAGCGAGAAGACTCTAAGCAGACAACTGACAACTGACGGGTTATTAGAAAAGAAAATACCTGCTCGATTTATTAAATAATAAATGCCCACAAAAATGTTCCCAAACAAACATGATTTTCTTTTTTTTCGCTCTGTTTTTTTGATATGCATATATCCGAAATAATTTCTATTAATTCTGGCCAAGGGACAGCTTTGTTAAATATTTATGAGCGCGGGGTCAATAAAAAAATTAAATATGCCTGCACTCGAAGCCATATTTAAGCCCTTTGGCAATCAATAAAGACCAATGTACGGGCCACTGTGACGCTCGACTAACCGAAGTACATATAGACACATGGGAGCGAAAGTTTTTCAACTTTTAACCCACTTAAAATAGCATGTCCTTCGTATTGTATTAACAACAACTACAACTACAACAACAACAAGTGTCCGCCTGCTTTTTTTTTTCTCTCTTGTTCTTGTTTGTTGTGGTGGTTGTTGTCATTGTGAGCACTGTGGGAATTTCCGCACGCCAGCTCTAACATATGCTAATCATCATCATCATCATCATCATCATCATCATGGCTCTAATCGATACATGTTTTGCTTAGACCGAATTCAGAGTTTGTGGCCTGTACTCACCTGCTGCACATTGTTGAAGTAGACCTTGGCCTGTGTCATTTCCTTGTCGAGCTCCTTGCGCTCCTTATCCTGCGTCTCGGCCACATTCGCCAGCGTCGTTATCGCATCCTTGCATTCGGCCAAACGCTGGCCCAACGCATCCAGTTCGCCCTGCATTAGCGAAGAGGCATCCAGACCCACATCGGCGGCTATCTTGGCCACAATGTCGCGCAGCTCCAAGAGGCGATCATTCTGTGTGCTCAGATTGTCCTGACAGACCTGGCAAGGGCAGACAGAATAAATTAAATTAATCATCCAAAATATATATAATTTAACTATAATAATTATTTCTTTCTCTCTCTCAACATAAACATATCGAATGACTAGTGTTAGCTTTTCGTCTAGTATATAGCACTTGCCACGGATTATTTTAGTTTGACTGCAAATGCCAACGATTTATAATTAGCTCGATCAAAGTACATTTAGCTTAAAAGCCGGCCGGGTCAGTTAGCCCTAGTTAGGAGCACGTATGCTGCTTATCAATTGTCTCGGCTCGTTCCCGATCCGAATGCATTTCTATTCGTAATTAATGTGTCGAGCAAATGCCGAGCACCGTGCACCGAGTACACTTTCAATTTCAATTTCAATTTAGAAAAGAGGTCACCCGCTGGGCCCTGCCGCGTCGCTGGCCATCAAATAGCTATTTAAATATATAACTGGCCGCACGCATTTACCAATTTAAAGAGCACGCGTCCGGCCCTACCGAATGCCCTATGATATCATCTCTCAAATATTCAGCTATGCTCCCCGCTTTATCAGAAAAAAAAAAACAAACAAACAAACGTTGACATTGAAATCTAACAACAGCAGCGACTTAAGAAATATTTTTACATTTATCTACAGCTTCGGACACGCTGAAGGCATGCTCCGGCAATCTTATAATCACATATGTACATATGTATTGCATATATGTATTGTATGTGGCCATATAGAATGTAGTATGTGGTCTTCCTATAATTTCGTGTGTTTTCATTTATTTTTGTCTTTTTTGTTTTTGGACTGAACAGATAAAGCAGCTATATAAACACAGAGCTTACGCTTTGGGTTGATAAACTTCGCCATGTGAAGTGACAGTTGGGCTACCTAGGGACACAAATAATTACAATGCTTCGCTTGGCCCCTCTAATGACCCTAATGATCAATAAACAAACATAAATAACAAAACTATGTGTTAATAGTTAAAGCAAATAAACTGAGTATCGAAACGAAGTCTCCACAAGAAATCATATTTATCTAACAAGTGCCGAAGAATAAATGCCCTATAATAAAAAATTATGCTCTTGCCAGACAATATTGTTTCCTATATTGAAGCTGAAAGATATCTAGAAAAACAGAAAAGTTGTACTTCTTTCTTTAGAGCTATATGATATAGTGTTCCGATGTTGGACGCAAATAAAGTTTGGAAAAATTAAAAAGATAAAAAAGGCTAGATTTCGACCAATCTCTCTTGTGACAATTATATAGTAAAGTTTTTCGATCGAATAAATGCCCTAGCATAAAATAATATAATATTGCTTCACAATATTGTTTCCTATAAAGAAGCTGGAAGATATCTTGATCATATATTGAACGCAACTGAAGCTAGTAAAATATTTTGAAAGAATAAAAAAACGATCAATTAAAAATCTAGATTTAGACCAATCTCTCATATGACAGCTATACTATATAGTAAAGTTTTTCCGTCTGGCTAACTCTGAAACATGTACTGCTATAAGGAAGTTTATATAGGAAACATTATAACAACGCGACTGCAGACACTGATCACGAATATATATGCTTTATGGTATCGAAAATGTCTTCTACAATAAGTTACACATTTGCTTGGAAAGCTAAGCTATCCAAGAGCAAGAGTGTTACAACTTTTGGGCCGTCTGTAAGTTTGTCTTTCTGTCTTGGGGTGTCAAGCAAAATAATTTATGACACAGGCAACCAATATATGTACATGCATGTACACATGTGTACACAAAAGTTGGCTCACACAGGCAGAGCCCTATTTCCTATTTCCATGTTCTATTGCCAGCGATTACAGTGACGCGCCCGAAAATTGATTGGGCCGAGCGTAACGGCTGAAAATCAATGTAATTACAGTCTGGTCCGGCTACAATTAAAAGTCGTTGATTTTCCTTCGATTTTTTTTTTGCCGCCAAAATCGTAACCCACCCAGGCAAACCACCCAATTACAATTACAATTAGCTTAAAGCACTTACCTTGGCATGTTGCATGGCATCCAAGGGCTGCTCGAAGGACTTGACGCTGTCCATTTGCTGGTCGATGCAGCTCTTGACCGCTGCTGAGGCGTTCCGATACTTGTCCCAGAGCTCGACGGCCCGCTGGTAGCGTGTGCAAAGCTGTTGCAGATTCTCGGTGGTATCATGCCAGGCGACTACCGCATCCTGCACGGACGATTCAATTTGCTCGACAATTTGTACATCGCAGCTCTCGATTAACGGTTTGGCGGCGCCCTTAAGCTCGTCCAAGAGCTGCTCTCGACTGTGCAGATCGCCCGCAAGTCCCTGAGAGAGCGCGAAAACAAACAAAAACAATTAATTAAAAAAAAACGCTCGCAGCGACAATTTACGCGACACGCGCGCGTTTCGAAGTCAAAGTCAACTGCCGCAAAGCAAACGAAACGAAACGAATCGAAACGCAAAGCAAATGCAATGCGCGAAAGCTTTTTTCGAAGAGCGCTTTAGTATAAGAGCTTTGTGGTAGCTTTTTGTTTCGAACTATTTTGAATTAGCATACGTGAAAAACCGCTCTGAAATATTTGAGGGTGCGCGCCTAACTGAACGCAGGCAGAAAACGCGCGCGGTTTTTATAGCCATTTCGGACAGATAAAGGCAAATGCTGATAAGAAGCGCTCGCAAAAAAAGATGCAAGCTGCAGGTAGCCAGGTCAGTTGTTTTGACTGACTGACTGCCTCAATATGGCCAAAATAGTCATAAATCAGTCAATAAAAAAGGGCATGAAAAACTTACCTCTAATCTCTCGGTGGCCTTACGCAGGCGCTCATAGTCGACCTGGCCGTGCACGCGTATCAGTTCCATCATGAAGTCCGTCTCCTGAACAGAGTCGTGCACCAGTTCCAGCTGACGTTCGTAGCGTAGCCATAAGGCCAAGCGATTACGTAGGATGGCCATAATATTGGTGCACTTGCTCTCGAGGAAGGCATGATCGTCCTGCAGCTGGGAAATGTCGCGTTCCAGCTTCACGGGCGACACGGACATCTTCAGCCGCATGGGCAGCGTGTGCAGCATTTGGCGTAAGCGCATTATCTCCTGCCAGCTGGCAACGAGCTCCTCGCCCGCATTTTGGCAATCGGCGACGGCTTTCTCTATGATATCCGCGCCTTGGCGCTCGGCGGACTCGCATTCGTCCAATATGACAGAGATTTTGGCCTGGTGCTTGCGCTGATTGCTGATGCCCTCGTGTATGGCCTGCAGCTGATCTCGCAGCACGGAGGCGAACTCCAGCTCCTCGGCAATTTGTGTGGTTATTTTGTGCGAGAGCGCAAAAAGTTCGCCCACTTTTTCTGGTTCAATTGCCGGCTCCTGAAGTCCAATGCGGCCCAGCTCGTTGCCAATGAAGCCAACGCGTGTGCGCAGCACCTGGACACGCTCAATGTACAAGCAGAGCTCCTCCTCGTTTTTGATAACGCCCTTCATGCTGGTCATGGTCAGGTAGATTTCCTGTAGCTCGCGCTCCACCAACTTGAGTTTTTCATCCGCGGGCATATCCTCCGAGGACAAGCACTCGACAATGTTGTGCTGTATCAGCTCAATGGCCTGGGCCACCGCCTGCCAGCGATCCTCGAGTTGGGCATGGAACTGGCGCTGGAGCATCTCATCGGCCAGTGGTATGACTTGGAGGGATTTCTCCAGGCTATGTCCCGCATCGTTGCGTATGTTATTATGCAGCTCGAAGCGCGCCTTAATCTCCCAGAATTGCCGCATATGGGGTATGGGCTCCTCTGTGGGTTGTGTGGGTATATGGATTTGGCGCAGCTCCTGCTCCGCTTCGCGTACAAATGCCTCCATTTTCTCTGTCTGCTGTTCGTACTGCACCCAGATCTCCTTGAAGACCAGCAGGCGGTGCAAGTAGAGCGCCACCTCCTCGCGCAGCTTGAGCAGCACAATGAGGGCATCATTCGATTCCTCAACCAAATTGGGCGCCTGCACCAGCAGCTGCATTTTGTTGGCAATGCCCGAGAGCTGCGTCATCTTCACATAATGATGAGAGATGTCATTGCTCAGGGATTGATAGAGCGTCGCATACTGATCATAATCGGCGGAGGTAACCGCCGACAGATCTGGCACACGTTGCTGTGCCACCTGCAACCACTGCAGCTCATCGCGCATGCCCTTCTCCAGCACTGTCCAGCGCGAGGCGGCCTGCACCAGCTTTGAGGAACGCTCCGAAGCACGCTCTAGCAGCTGGGTGGCCTTCTGGTAGAGCTGCTTGTGCAACTCCGAGTGCTTCTCGCGCGTCTCGCTATCAATGTTCTCCTCGAGCGACTCCAGCATGGCGCGACAGTGGCTCAGATTGACAAAGAATTTGCGCTGTTTTTGCACCTCATGGTTGAGCAGCTCCAGGGAACTGGACACAATTGGGCTCTCCATCATTTTGTCGGCCAGCACCGTGATATTGGTGAACTCCTTGAGCGTCTGCTCGTACTCCTCGGCCAGTGACTGCAGCTGAAGCAGACGATCACGCTCTGTCTCGATGTTGTTGCCAATATTCTTGCTGTTCTCAAAGGCGTTGTACACACCCTGTGGTATTTTCTTATTGGGGAAATCTCGCTGGAAGAAGCGGGCAGTCTGCATCAGTTGTTCCAACTGCTGCTGGCCTGCCGTATGCTGCCGGTCCAGCTCATCGAGAAGTGCCAGCTTCTGGGAGAGCGGATGTTCCCCGTTGAGCGCCTGTTCGTACCGTTGTTGCAGGAAGTCCAACGATGTGGAAACTTCTCTGTAGAGCAGCTCAAAGTTGTGCCACTTGTCCAGATCCTTGCTATCCTGGGCCTGACTCTGTTGGGTCACCTGCTCCACAGCATCGATGTGCTCTTTGAGCGTGTCCACATATTGCAGCAGCTCCGACTGTGTTGGTTTATCCGTTTGGCCGACCCCTCGCTCGAGCTGATGGACATTCGCTTTGATTGTGTGCAGCTCCTCGTTCAGCTGATTGTAGTTGTCCAGTTTCTGTTCCGAGGGACCTTCATTCGAGTTCTGCCGTATGAGATACACGCGATACTCGATGGTTTCCAGCCAGGTGGAGACCTTCTCAATGACAGTTATGACTGTGGTGTGTATAATCGTTTTATCTCTACTGCTTATGGCCACATCCAAGTTCTTCAATCCTTCGTTGACCTCCAGCAAGCGCTGTTCGGTGGGCACCTGCTTGATCTGCTCGGATAGTGTGGCCAGGTGAAGGACATCGCTCAATGGTGTTGACTGCTGTGGCGTCGCCTGTTTCAGTTGCCTTATGCGACTGCCAATTGCCTCCTTGGTCTCTGCCCAGGTCAGCTTCGGTTGCTGTTGTTGTTGTTTACCAGGATACAGCTGCAAAGTCTCGCTCCTGATGAGCGCTTCAGAGGAATCCATCGGCGTGCTGTCCTCAGTCGAGCTGGTCGTTGCCGTTAGCCATATATTCTTTTCATCCAGATTATCTGGACCCGGCGTAATGGGCACCACCAGCTCCTCCGTTGGCGAAGCAACCTCCTCAATGGTCACCGAAGATGTGGGTCGACTGCGTGGCTTGCCTTGCTGTTGCGAGGCAATGCTAACCTTGTTCTGTTCGAGTATATGCACCGGCAAATCAGGATATTCATCGTAGACTGTGGTCTTTGTGATTTGCAATTGCACACGCTGTGGCCTTTGCGGATCAACAACCTCGGTGGGCTCAGAGTCGGATACTGGCGGCAGATGTGGCACCTCTTCGATTTGCTGATTGGTGGAGAGTTCTATTCCAGATTCAGTCAGCAGTTCGGGTGCAATTTCTACGGTCACACTAATTTGTGGATCCGCCTCTTGCGTTGGCTCCGGCACAGACTTGCCCTTTTGTTTCTTTTTGTCCTTTTTGTCCTTTTTGGATTTCTTTTCAGGCTTGGGCAGCTGCATCGTTTGCGTGTATTCATATAGCGTAGGCTCCACTGTAGATGCATCGGAATCGGCCGGTATGGCCACTGTAGTTTTCACCTCCAGCTCGTAGGGCTCTGAAGTAGATGTAGCTGTCAAGGAATTGTCTTCAAGCGAAATTGGCTGTGGCTCCTCACGTGGTGTGGTCTGCACCAGCACATCGCTCACATCTACGGCTTCAGGCCTGCTCAATTCCGTTGGCTCTGGCGTTGCTGTTTGCATGTGAGTCTCCTTGGTGGTGGTTACCTCTGTGACGGTGGACTGCTCCTTTGTGGGCACAGGCAAATCGATGGTCATGTCTTTAACCAAATCTTTAACAAGTGGGTCGACCACGTGGTCGCTACTTGATTCAGCTAGGCGCGGCGATTCCTTGGGCGTCGTTTGCAGCTCCTTTTCGGTTGTTGTCGTTATAATCGTTTGGCTAGAAATTTCGACGGTTTGCCGGGGCTGACCATTCTCATCGGTTTGAATTTCTGTGCTAAATGTCTCGACGGGCTCAGGTTTGTCGTCGTCACCGCGTGGTGTTGTCTGGGCTTCAGTTTCAGTAATTTCCACAATGATCGTCTGCGATTCGGTCTCCTGGTTATCCGGACGTACATCAAGGCTCGTTTGCACCGCTGTTTCATCCAGTTTGGGTTTGTGCTGTGGTGATGTCTGCGAAGATTTAATATCCTGTTCGGCAGTTGTTGGCGTGGGTGCACGCGGACTCGTTTGCTGCTCCTCATCTTCAAGTACTGCCAGCTCGACAACCTCTGTGGGTATAACCAGTTCCGTAATTGGAGTACGTGACTGCTCTGTGGGTGAGGGTATAATCGAATCTTCGACCACCTTGACGGTCTGACCCATATCCATGCTCGACAAATCACTCTCTGTGCTTATCTCCACAATCGATTCGTGGCATACTTTGTCTTCCGATTCTGGGGTGATGGTGTCTCTACGTGGCGACTTCTCGGGTGAGAGCGGTACATGCGCTGCCTCCTCTTCTAACTTTGTTTTTACCTCTGCCACTTTGACAGTTTCGTGCACGGGCTGCGGCTTTGGTTCTGGTACTTGCTCACTCTTGGCTTTTTCCTCATCTCTTCTCTTCTTTTTCTTTCGACTTCGCTTCGTGGACGCGTCTTCGTCGTGCTCCAGGGGCGCTGTGACAGTCTCCACAATGGACATGGTTACCTTAGCGGGTGACATGCCAATGGATTCAACAAGCTCTGAGGTTGCTGCCATGGCTACCTTGAGTACACCAGCTCCAGTGGCTTCTACAGAGGGTGCTGTTATCTGGTAAGTCTTGCGTGGCGACGCTGAGGCGGCTGCCTCTTCAGAAATGAAAAGCTGGGTGGCCACACGTATATCCTTTTGAGGTATATCCGATTGTTTATCGGCGATGTTGATGGATGGCACTTCTGTGACAGGTTCTTTAGGCGCTACCTTTTGTGGTTGTGCTTGCTCGGCTGGTACTGCTGTTTCAGCTTTTTCAGACTCTTTCTTATCGGGTTGAGCATGTGCTTGTTCAGCTGCTAGGAAGGTTTCTACGTCAGTCTTGGGCTTAGCCACTGGCTGCTCCGGCGTTGTTTCAGTCTTTTGTGGTGCCGGCTCAGACTCGGATTTGATGCTCACAGCTGTTGGCAACGCTGGCTCAAATGCATACGATTCCAGGGTGACAGAGTTGCCAGTTTCAGGACTAGTTGGCCAAATGGTTTCCACGGGCATTGATGGCTCTGGGCTGGAAGCAGCTGGCGGTGCCAGCTCTTCGGCATGCTCCGAGAAATCGATGTTTGTGGTTTGCAAATGATGTTCCAGTGGCCAAATTTCCTTGATATCTTCCACCACAGGCTGACTCTCTGTTGTTGTAGCTGTGATTGTCGTTGTTGTTGTTGTGGTGGTGGGGGCTGTAGGTTCAGTTACTGCCGCAGCTGCAACATTAACGGGACTGATAGGGGCAACATTTACGATTTCTTCAATGTCTACTTGAGGTGCTGGCAATTCTACAGGTGCTGCTTTTGTCGTTTCTCTTGTAATTGCAGTTGTTTTTGTTGTTGTTGGTGGTTGTGTCTGTTTATCGAGTGGTTGTTCTTGTTGTGTGGTTGTGGTGGTGGTGTTGGAGATGTTGATAGACTCAATATCAAATACCTGTTGCTGCGGTTCTACTGTCTGTGATGACAGATCCGTTGCAACTTCTTCGATGACCACGCCTGGTTCTTGCATCATGCGCTGGAATTCCTCTTCGCTCACCACTTTTCCATTCACCGTACGCACAATATTGACATCGATATGTGGCATAGTCTCCTCCTCAGTCACCTCAATCTCCTCGGGCTCCTCAACCACCTCCTCAGTCACATGCTCCTTGCCATCAATGATGACCACACGCTTGATTATCTTTCGGGTCTTGCGTATAATCTTACGGGTCACCTGCTGCATTACAGCTTGTATTCTGGTACCCTGATTATCTAGCGTAGACTGTCCAGCTGCCGCGCGGAATGGCTGCATTTTGCCATCCGCATCGGGGCTTAACAGCTGCTCATACTGCTCAATCACCGGCTCCGTCTCGAACTCACTGACCGTCACGGTCTCCGGCTGGGAACCATCCAACAGGGTGGCACGCGTTTGCTGCGTGACTACGGTGCGGTAAGTGCTCTGTTGTGGATCGCCAAACGTGTCTGTGGTCTTCACATTCTCCAAGTTTATTTGACCTGTTGACTGCACTTCAATATTGCCATCGGCATCGCTGACTGTCTCAATGGAGCTAATCTGTTGCTGTTGCACAATTTGTTGACGCATCCGGGTGACCTTTTTCAAGACAATATGCTTGGTGCCATCGGCGCCGACAACCACCTCGGTTGTGGTCTCGTCTGGTTCGACAAATGTAGTTTCGAAAGCCTGCGGCACATTCTTAAGTATCAGCTCGGTGGCACGATCCACATCGCCCTTGGGTTGCTGATGGTAACGCGCCTCGATCTGCACATCCTCGGTCTGTTCCGGTACATTTTCGTTCAGCTGTGTGTCAATTTGTATTGTCTCCTGACCATGCTGTACGGTTTGAGTGACCATTATGTTTTCCGTGGGTGGACGCTCCTTGAGTGTTTGCAGTGCTACCTCGGCGGTTTCTATGGCCACCACGGGTTGCGGTTCCTGGAAGCTAGTCTGCGCCTCCACATTACTTGTGGCGATCTGCGGCTGAGGTTGTTGCAAGCTCAGCGATGTCTGCGTCTCCACATAAACACCCGCGGGCTTGATCTCCTCCTCAGGCATTGAGCTCGAGTCTAGAGTGTTTTCATTGGACTCTATGGATTCAGGCGCTGCACTTGCAGCAATTGGTGCCAGTATTTGGGCATCCGCCAGCACGCGCTGACGCTGTGCATCCTCGCTCTTGGCCTTGCGCAGATCCACGATTCGTTTCTCAATGGTAAAGATACGCGTAGTCGCAACGGTGATCTGTTCACGTAATATGATTAGAATGCTCTGCAGTTGCTCCATCAGCGTATCGGCCAACGGGGCGACGTCGGGATGAGCCTGAAGCTCTCGTGTTTGGTCGACCAAATCATCCATGGACTGTTGCCGTTCCTTCAGAGTGCGCAGCAATTGCTGACTGCGCTCCACCTGAGTCTTGAGCACCTGCTCATCGGTGCTGCTGTCCGTTGTTGGCTCGAACGAGGCCAATTCGGCGGAAACCTCATTGATCCAGCGTTCCAGCTCCAGCAAATGCTGCTGGTACTCGTCGATCTCCTGCTCACGCTTCTTCTGCCCATGCATGGCGTTCTGAAAAATGAATTGTTTGCAGGTGCTATAAATATATATATATTGATTGATTATACTCACGGCTATCATGGTAATGCCTTGCTGTGTGCGCCTCAGCAGCAGATCGATGCGATCTGCGGTCTCGTTAAGCAAACGCTCTGTTCCAGGATCTGTGGGCAATGCCTTTGCTTGATCCTTGAGATGTAGCGCTTCCTTCTCATGTACTTGCAGATTGCTTTGGATTAGCTGCACATCAAGCAGAAAACACGCATTAAACAAACGTTGTCAAAATGACAAAAAAAACAAGAATTGAATTGAATGTACACCTACTACATGTAAGTAAATAAATAGTAAGACGTCAAAGGGTTCGACTACTATATTGTAAAATCATTTTAGACGAGATGTAATTGTATATCAGAACTAAGAGTACGCTAATCAAAAAACTTCTATCGGTAATAAGTATATATATAGATATATGTACGATTTTTTATGGAATGATGCGAATGTGTTATTTAATTTGTGTGACACACGCCAGCATCCATTAATCGTTTCTTAATTTGCAAAAATACAAAACTACGGCTATTTACAGTGTCAGTATGGATTATTATCTAATATTATTTAAAAGAATGCCAGGTAAATACGTGCTTTAGGTTCAGTTTAAGCAGCATCTAAATTACCTTCAATCCTTGTAGCATGCCCTCCAAGCTGCTGTGGCTCATATTCCCAATGCCATCCTCGACGGTTGACAGCGATTGTAGAAGTTCTTCGAGTTCTTGCGTGATTATATCCTATATATATTTGTTGTTTTCGTTTTTTTCGTAATATATGTGTGCAATGTGTTGGGGAATATTAATAAACATGTTAATAAGAATAAACATTGCATTTTGCGTCAAATAACTAGTTAACATTGTAAATATTTGTTGGCGGCTTTTATACACGCACACAACATATTTACACGATGAACAAAGTTTGCAAAACATTTATTTGTTGTAGTTGAATGGATGCAAACGCACGGCCATACATAGGGGTAGGCAATGCATAATAATTGTTTTGATATATATCTCTATACGTATACTTAAGTAGTACATATTTAGCATAAACATAACTGCATTTAACGTAACGCATGCGTATATGGCATTAAAAATCTTAACGTATATGAACGGCGGCATATTATGAGTATATGGCGAAAGGGACAGCGGATAGACAAAAGCACCAAATGCGAAAGTTCCTAGCAAAGGGCTGTAACTTGATTGAAACTATATGAAAAAGTCTTTACACTCTGATTTTGGAAAAGAATATGAAAATTATGGTAAGCAAGGAAACAACTAGGAAATAACTTAAATCTATTTTTAAACATTTTTCATATTGCAAGCTTAATAAAGAATACAAATCAGGCTACAGCCGAGTATGCTCGACTGGCAGTTACCCTGTACCCCATTCCTATAACTGCACGTGGTAATACTTTGAATTTTGAAAATCACTTTTTGTTTAAACATTTCCCCATTACATGTTCAAATTCTCGATACATACTTTGTAAGTTAGATATCTATTTTAAACTGGCCTTGCTAGTATATAGTATTGTCTTAGCTAAATGCACTAGCAGTTGATTGATATTTTTAACTATGTTCAATGCTTACCATACTTTGCAAATATATTGTATATGGTATACATAAGAAATCTTTACACTTGCCTTTTACTATTAAGGATATGCCTAAAGAAATTATTTGCATTTTGCAATTTTATAAAATTTACTTTGGCCTATAACGAAGCGTGCTAACAAACTTGATCTGTCTATGCACATATCAAATTTTGCATCGTTCCAAAATAGTCACGTTCTTAAAACCGGACCGACAATAACAAATATATATATACTTTTTTTTACGATACTCGGAATGTCTCCAGCTACCACGTACTTACAGCATTTAATGAAACCATTTATGAACTCACTTAGGGGTACAGGGTACAAAAAAAATATATAAATGTTCTTACTGATGGTTTTCTTGCCCGTAATCCTATGAAATTGTAGACTCTGATATATATAAAGTTTTCTGCACTAGCACTCACATATGTGATTTATTTTTCTTGGCCGGCCTTTAAACACAGTTCTTGAATGCACTAATTGAAAGCTTAAGAATTTGGTTTTGATTTAGCAAACTATTTGACTGAGTACATTTCGCATTGAACTCACGATCTATACTAAAAATTGGAATGCAAGACTAGGACCGACTGACTGGCGCACTGAGGTATTTTTGAGCAAGTAATACGGGCTGCATTGCATGGATCTCTAATTTATTTATAGCGACAACTAAGCACACACTGGGGGAAACTGCAGCAAAAACAAAAAAAAAGGAAAATTGCTTAACATTTGGCGAGGGCTGCAGGACGGCAGACAGGAAGGCAATGAACTCATAAGTAGACGATTTGTGGTACATAAAAACGGGCATATTCTGCTAGAAAACTGTGTGCACGCACTTTTAAGCAGCACTGTGTGCAAGTGCGAAGAATATGTGCATCTGCGTGAGTGTGCCTGAGTGTGTGTGTGTGTGCCTATACGAAAATAAAACTGTGCAAGTATATATAGTTAAAATAGATTTCAATATATTAAGACGTGCAAGTTGGTTAATATTTATTTTATTTTGTTAAGTTTGACTTTAGTACGTAAATAATGCTACTAAGTATTAGTAGTTACTGCATTTTACAATAGGTTAAGATCAATTAGTAAGGAACATTTGGTAACGCAATCAAACAACTAGTCTAAGTAGATAGAAGAGCGTGTATATAAACTCATAATATTACGATTAATCTTATATATATATATATAGATGAATGCAATTAGCGAAACAACACGTACAATACAAATATAATAAACAAAAAATTCTTAAGAAAATAAAAAAGGAAAATCATAAGAAAACATAAGATATTGCAGAATATATAAGAATTAACAATTTAGAGTTACGTTAGTATAATATATATTATAAATGTGTGTATATTTTTTTTATTTTTATTTTTTGAATAGTTTGTTTTGTTATTGTTTGGGCACCCGCCATGCGCCAAGGCCAACAAAGAGCGGCAACCCATGGTCGACCTTACTGCAGGCCATTGCCAGGGTGCGTTTCTGTTGCTGGTGGCAGCAATGTGCAGCATGTGCTGCAGCTGCTGGCAGGGCCGCAACAACAACAACAGGTTGAGCGATTGCCGTATAAAAGCCATGAACAAATACCAAAACCACACAAAAAAGCTGCAAATATTAAAATTATGAATAACTGAAGGCTCAATGTGATTTTCACCTTCTGGCGTTGTTGTTGTTGTTGTTGTTGCAAATCATTGCTAGATGTTGTTGTTGTTGTCGTTGTCGTTGTGTTGCTGCTGCCAGGTGTTGCTGCTGCCGTTTCACTGGTTGTTGTTGTCGTTACCGTTGTAGTTGTTACTACAGTGCGCTTCACGATATTTGTGCTGTCATTTGTCGGAGCAGACCCCTCGCTGCTTGTTGTTGTCGTTGTCATTTCGGCAACTGTTGCTGGTGTGGCAGCAACCGCAGGCGACTCAACAGCAGCAATTGCTGTGAGCGCTTGCGTCTCCGGCTGCTGCTCGGGCTGGGCTGTTGTCTCCGCTGATGTTGTCGGTGTTGTTGTCTGGGCCGTAAGCTTATTAATTACGGCTGCTGCAACTGGCAGAATCGCGCTAGTCGCTGCCAGTGTTGTCGTTTTTGTTGCTGTTGCCGCTGCATTGGCAGCCGCGTTCAGCGTGTGAGTTGTGGCGCTCGCCAATTGGATTAGTGCATTTGCAACGTTAGTTGAGTTTGTAGTAGCATTGGGTGGGGCGGGACTTGTTTCAGGTGTAGTAGTAGTTGGGGACGTGTCTGATTTAGATGGCACAGAGGGTGCCAGCTCTAGGATTTTAGTTTCGGTTAGAACATCCTTAGACTCTACTTTTGTTGGTGTCAATTCTAGTTTAACCTGAGGTTCAGCTTCTAAAGCCAAGTAAGTACTTTGGTCCCGCCAGTGACCTACGCCGCCTGGCAAATCGGTTGACATATACTCCGACAAGCAGCTCTGATTTGGTTCGTTTTGAGCTGCATCGTGTTCGGGTGTCGGTGTTGCATTGCCACTGCTACCACTACCAGGATCGCGGTCGTTCGGTTTATCGTCATCGTCATGCGGCTTACGAATTTCAGGCACAGTCAGTTTATCTCCATCATCATCGTCATCGTCATCGTCATCGTCGTCGTCGTCGTCATCATCGTTATCGTCGTCCTTTTTGTCTGGTTTGTTGATATCATCGTCGGGTTTCGTGTCTTTGTCAAGTTTTGTATCAATGTCTGTCACATCAGCACGTTTCAGTCTGTCGATGCTACTCTCGAATAAATCTGGATCGATGCTGCGCGTTTGCCAGTCATCCAGGTACAGATTTAGACGCAACTGATCGAGACTGTTGACAGGTGCTGTTGCCGGCACTTCTACGCTAGGAATGCTTACAATTGACGATGCTTCTGGTTCAGTCTTATCTACAACGTGATCAGTAATCAATTTGCATGATTCTGTAATCGTGGTCGTTTTCACTACAGTTTCAGTAATGATGTCAGTCTTATGCTTATCGTCCTGAGTTTCCTGAGTTTTCTCTGTATCCGTCTTGGTCGAGTCGCTAGTAATTGTCTTAAATAGTCCGTAAGCATTTTCAGCCGTTTGCCTATACTTCGGGAAGTTGTCCTGGCTTAGATGCCAGAGTAGTTCACTTGGTTTGCGGGCTAAGGATATGGACGCTAAGGGTGTTGAATTCGATTCCAACGAGTTATCAACGAGTATTACTTTCTCTATTTCAGGTTTGGGTTTGACTATTGTTATTTTCTCAACTTCAGTTACTATTTCAGCTATAGGTTGAATCAGCGTTTTCTCTGAAACAATTTCCTCAGCTTTAGTTTGTGGCTTGTCCACAGGCGACACCTCCTCAACTCTGGTTTCTACTTTGGGTTCAACAGGCTTTTCTATTTTCAATAAATGCAACTGACTAATGGTATCATTGGGAATGGGACGCAAAAGCGTTTCTCTATCAAGGTACAAATTGTAAGCGAGAATTTCCGAGTTAATTTCGGGCAATGCTTCGGGTTCAATTATCACATAATCATTTATAAATGTTTCATCCTTGGGTAACTCTGTTATCTCCGCAGTACCAATTACTTTGGGTTTATTCTGCTTCAAAAGATGATACTGCGTTTCCGCAATGTTATATTTGGGGAATTGTAGATTCGCGTAGTCAAGCTGTAGGTTTTCCCTCAGAATATCCAAGCTGCTGGGAGCAATTGGCTCTACAGGCTTAACGCTTGTTTCCGTGGATTCGGGCTCAACTGTCAGCTCATTTGAATGAGTTGTCACAACTGTTGATACGTACGAAGTTGGTTGTTCCTCGGGGGTTTTCACATCCTTGTGAGTTGTAACTGTTGTTGTAACGTAGGTTGTATTGGTAATTGTAGTTGTCGTTGTTTCCTGATTCTCAAGATCTTGCTGTTGCTTAGGATCTTGAAAGTCTGTTGTTTTGCTTACAACAACAGTGGACCATGCAGGCACATCAGCCGTCTCTTCCTTGATAGCTGGAGACGGGAATACCTTTGTTTCAGTTTGAACAATAGCAGACCACGTCGTTGGCTGATCAGTTGGAGATTGAACTGGAACTTCCGCGAGGGTATTATCTGTTGGTATTTCAACTGTAATTGGAGCATCCTCCTTAGTTTCGTCTGGAATGGGTTCGACGACTTCTTCAGTAGTTGTTACTACCTTTTGACTGGGTTTCAATG